CTTGAGGTTTGGAAAGGTCCTTTATAGTTGTCGTCTATGGCCATACCACCCTGAACGTGCCTGATCTTGGAAAGGTCCTTTGTGTATTCCCTCAAGTAAAAGGAAAACATAGGGAGAAGTACTAGTAAGTACAATTCTATAGAAATAAACTCATGTAAAAACTGATGAAATGCAAAAATGAAGGGAATTATCAGATTCATGATGATTACACTTATGCAATAACTGATTTTGAAAGAAAAGAATAAAAACTAGTGATAATGGAAAGAGTAGTTCAGACTGGGGGCAACATGAATATTGCATGTGGTATTTTGACTCTAGTAACGAGGAGTCTAAACTAGGCCGTAATGAGAGTGGTCATGGTAATCAGATACATGGAAAAATGGCAAGGTCAGAAGAGCTGTGAAACATTATTCATGCAGATAGCATTGCTGTAACGATTTAGTTATCTATATTTACTTCAGTTTTTAAAAAATTATGTGCATGAGTCTGCAGAAACAGAAGAGCAATAAACTTCCTTCGGGTGTAGGGAGGGGAGCTCTCCCTGGTCCTTGCTTGGTTCCAACTTTGGGTCTCCACCCTCTCTGGCAGTGACCGTCAGGATCACCCCAGAAACCCCTCAAAACAAACAAACAAACAAATAAAAAATCTAGAAATAGATAGACTGAGAACAACAAGGAAAGCGTAGAATCAGACAGGAAACGTTCAGCAGGGATTCACTTAAACCTCACTAAGTAGGACACAAACATTAGTTACTCCTCACTAGGATATTGAGGATTTGTCTGCACACCCCTCCTAAAACTGTTCTTCACCTAAACTGTTGACACATGTATTGTTAGAGTTATAAGCCAGTCTAGACTGCCCGAAAAACAGCCAGGGTCAGCAAAATTATGCTTCAACACTATAAAATGCTAAATACTATAATGAAAATAGACACGAGACAGCTGAGTAGTAATCCAGAGCCATTTTAAGGTGTATAGAACCCAGTTGTATATGAACTAAAATTGAAATGTCAATGAAGAAGTCACAGGGTGTGGTTGAGAACTTCCATTTTTTTTTTTAACATATTGGTTACTCAATACTATGTCAATTAATTCCATAACATTATAAATTATTGCTGATGTTATGTTGGGGCTTTTAATTGATCGGGATGATACTTTGCCGGCTCTATCTTCAGACCAGAGATGGACTCCCCAAGAAGCCGCTGAACTTATCTGAGCAATGATGCTGGACTCTATGCTTGGTATATGCTTGCAATGAAAGAATCTCAACTGAACTTGAACTGTGGTAATGCAACAAGGTGGAGGAATCCACCATGGGGGGAGGGGTTTGGGGGACTCCCAGTGCCTATAAAACTGTGTCACATAATGCAATGTAATTAATAAAAAAAAAAGAAAAGAAATAACAACCCATCTTAAAAAAAATCATGTGCATGGGAAGAATGACAGTTAATATGCTTTTCTCAAGGCAAAATACTCGATCAATGTTTCACAAATGAGAGTGAAATTTCCTACCCTCAACTCCAGTAAATACTTGGCACTCAAAATCTGGAAATATTTTTGCTTTTAACAATTTCAAATACCCAATGGGTAGAAGATAGGGATGCTGCTAAACACCCCACAATGCACAGACCAGCCCCCACCACCACACGCAAGAATCATCCAGTCCACACCTTCAGTAATACCAATATTAAGAAACTGGGCTAGATAAGGCGGAGAATTAACAATCCCAAGAACTAGGTCACAGTCTCCAACCAACTCCTGTGTTGGTATGACCAATATCTTCTTGCACCAAGTTGTTCACAAAGTTAACGTCAGTTACATTCATTCAGGAATATTTTAACTTTTTTAAACAAAAAAGTTTGGGAGAAAGAGTGAAGGAGGGGGGTTGAGAGAGTTTCCATTTGCTTGCTGACTCCTTAGAGGCACTTAATGGCTAGGGTTGGATCAGAGTCATAACCACCTGGGTGACAGGAGTCCGTTTTTGAGCCTCCAGGGTCTGCACTGACTGGAAGCTGGGGTGAGGAAGCAGAGCCAGATGTCACACTCAGGCATTCTGATGTGCTGATGCAGGTAACTTACCCAGAAGCTAAACACCTGCTTTCCTATATTAGGAATATTTCAAACCAATTTACATTATATTCTTAGTACTCTTGGTGTTTACAGTCATCAACATGGATGAATCTCACAAAGGCCACACTGAATGAAAGGTCAAATCAAGTAAGAATATGTTTAGCATAACATCACTGACGTGTAGTCTGAAAACAACCAAAACTAAGGAACATATTATGAGGAGCTGCCCATGTTATATGAAGGAAACGAAGGAAAGAGAATGCTGATTGCAGGGCCTGGCGCTATAGCCTAGTGGCTAAATCATTGCCTTGCAAGTACCAGGATCCTGCATGGAAACTGGTTTGTGTCCTGGCTGCATCACTTCTCATCCTGCTCCCTGCTTGTGGCCTGGGAAAGCAGCAGAGGACGGCCAAAGCCTTGGAACTCTGCACCTAAGTGGGAGATCTGGAACAGGCTCCTAGCCCCTGGCTTGGATTGGCTCAGCTCTGGTCATTGTGGGCACTTGGGAGTTGGAAGATCTTTCTTTCTGTCTCTCCTTCTCTCTGTAACTCTGCCTTTCCAATAAAAGTAAATAAATCTTCAAAAAAAAAAAAAAGAAAAGAAAATGCTGAATGCAGGGAAGTATTAAGTGTGGGGAAAAAGCTAAGCTGTGTGGAGGGAATCAACCAGACTAGTGATATAGAATTTTTAGATTAAAAGTAGTGATATTGAATTTTTGGATTAGGTAGTGGGTTCTTGAGTAGATGAGAATATTGTATTTTATAATTTACATGTAGTTTACATGTTCTTTTGTGATGTAAGAGCTTGCATAAGAATTAAAATTCAATTATAATAGCATCAAGCATTTTTTCTCCTTTATGTTGTGGCACCACCTACAGGTCAAGTGTAGATACTGCAGAAAATACTTCACACAGACCAAATGGAAATGAAAATAAGTGAACTCTGCAAGGCACTAAATATACAAGGAAGTACAATAGGATATTTTGCTACATTTGTAATTATAATCCATTTGTGGATGAACAGCATAAAGACTATTTTAAAGAGATAATATGGCACAAAGTATTGTAAGTACTATCTGTCTGTGTCTTTTCTTAAATACTTATTTTTATTTGAAAGGGAAATTTGCCAAGAGGAGAGACAGAAAGAAAAAGATCTTTCACCTACTGGTTCACTCCCCAAACAACCACAATGGCTAGAGCTGAGTTGATCTGAAGCCAGGAGCCAGGAGCTTCTTCCAGATCTCCTGTGCGGATACTGAATCCTATGGCTTTAAGTCATCCCTCACTGCTTTTGCGGGCCGTAAGCAGGGGATAGGATGGGAAGTGGAGCAGCCAAGAAACAAACTGGCACCCTTTGGGGATGCTGACACTTGCTGGTGGAGGATTAGCCAATTGAGCCATCATGATGGCCCCTCATTAATCTTGCTATTATTCACTTTTCCATTCCTCACTCCAAATGATTTCTCAGCTTCAGCCAGTCTGGCTTCTATGCTGCTGTCCATTATTTATTATAGATGAATGACCTGGTATGTCCTGTTTCTTTGAACTTCAGTCTGCCATTATTAGATGTTCCCTCCAACTGTATAATGAGTATGTTATGCTGTGCTATATGTGGGACACTGAAATGTGTATGGTACAAAAGAAAACCTAAGAAAAAAATGCTCAAGTCCCTTCAAGGTGAGCCATCTTATCATTCCTCCCTCCTCTTTCATAAATGGAACAACTGAAGCCTGGAAAAGTTAAGGAACTTGCCCTCTGTCTTTAGAGGGATGGAATCAGGACAGGGCATTCTGACGCAAACATCTAACCAGCGAGATGCGCTTCCCTCTTAGAAGACACAACTTATTTTCCTCACACTTTATTTTCCATTCCTTTCTGAGACGGGAGTTCATCAAGGGCAGGTTGTTTGGTTTTGCTGCCTGGACAGTCCTTAGCAATAGCAGACAATGCATCAAAAGTGTCTGACAAGCCAGCAGTGTCACTGCGCGTCGCACTGCTGGCTGAAGCTGAGTCAGCGCCCACAGCAGCCGGCGCGAGGGCTTTCTCTACACCTCGTCCTGACAGGCAGCTGGACCTACTGCTTATGTGGACAACTTGTTGTAACCCAGAAGCCCATTATTATTCATTCTCCCTGTTTTTTTTTCTATTAAAAAAAAGTTTAAATCTTATTCCATAACTGCTACCTAAAACCATAACGTCCTTGTATCCAACTAAAATCGACCAGCGTTTTACGTTTTCGGACAGGCACATTAAAGGCTTTGTCCCTGGAAGTTTATTTTATTTTATTGTATTTCCCCTGGAAGTTTAAAACTAGAAACTGTCAATTTGCGAACCTTAATTAGAACTATTGACAGAGGCATGGAACGGAAGGGACTAGGGCTTCCGAGAAACAAACAAACAAAAAATTTCTTGAGGTAAAATTGTCACTAAGAGCACTTGGCTTTTTCAAACAAAAGGACATCAACTCAAAGGGGCACGAACAATATTTACGATTCTCCCATTAACCAACCACCTATACGAGAACATGACGTCTGGGCTAATTATTTCATTCCCGTGTTTATCTCCTCACGTAAATACCGACGGCTGGATTTGTATTAAAGGCCCTCTTGTATCCACGCCTTGGTGACTGGGACATGGGTGGGCAGCGAATAGAGAACCGGGTCCTCTTCCAGCACCACGCGGACCCACCAACCCTGCAGTAAACCGAGAGGGTCGCCTCGCTTCTTCCTCCTCAGCGAGGACAAGGCGCCGGAGAAGCGCACGGCATTCTGGGAGTTGTAGTCCTCGGCTATGTGGCAAGGGGTCATTTCTAGCTTCGCGAGTTGGAATTCTGGGATATGTAGTCTCCGTTCGGTCGCTTGCGTAATCCGTTCCGGGCTAAAGAGCCAGAAGTGACATCCCAGACTTGGGCGGGTCACATGATCCCTACAGTCTAGCGCGTTGGCCGAGATCGCGCTGCGGCTCCGGCCCGGGCGAGTTCTCGCCCCCACGCGGCCGTTGCTGAGGAGACGGCGCATGTCTCCCGGCGCGTTGCCCCCCTCTGCAGTTCTCCCCGCCCCTCTTCTCCCACCACAATGAGATCCTAAGATGGCGGTGGCTGCGGCGGTTGGCGCCCAGTAGCTAAGGTAGAGAAGGCGGCCATTGCGCCCAAGGCAGCCAGGGAACTTTTGGGACCTTCCCGCTGCGGCCTCTGAGGGACAGCCGGTGCCAGTGGCAGGTCGTGGGGGCTGACCGCCACTCCGTCCTTGGCAGGAGAAGCTGCTCCGTTACAGGTAAATGCCTGCGCGTCCCCGGCCCTAGGCAACCGAGGGCAGCGCGCCACTGGCGCGGGAAGGCAACGGCTGCGGGACACTTGACCCTGTTGGGCCCGGCGGGGAGGGACCCCCCTCTCCTCGGCAGTCTCCTGGGGTTTTTCTTGCTGCCTGCTTCACGTGCCCTAGGCGGACAGACGGAGCCCTCTCCCACCGACCCACGGGATCTCAGGGTGAGCCTCCAGGGACGCTCTGCCCACTGCGGAATCTCCTCCTTGCCGCCCCACCCCTCTCTTTTTCGGGCTCTGGGGGAAGTGGCTGCCCCGCGAGTACTGCGCCGCGAGTACTTCGGGAATGTCCTCTGCGGGAGGAGGAAGCCGAGAGGGGCGGGGTGGGGGGCTGTCGTGGGGGTGTTTGGGGTTCAGAGTTCTCAAGAAAGAGGCCTTGGTGGCCATCGTGCTTGTCACCGCGCTTGCCTCCCTCTGCGCCTCCCCTTCCCTCCCCACAAGGCTGGCCTTTGGGGTCCAGAATCCGGATGGAGAAGAACGAAGGGTGCTTGAGGCAACTTGCAGCGTCGGGGTTGGAGCTGTGATCAGCCGGGCTTCTGTCTCCTGACCCCAAGAGCAGGAGGGCCAAGGGAGACGTGCCTGACTTTGACTCCAAGATGGTACACAATAGCGGGACGCCCACTCCCCTCTCGTTGCCTCTCTTCCCCTCTCTCTTACTGTGGACTTAGTTAGGAGGAGTTTGGGACCTAGGAGAACAAAGTACCAAGTGGGATTCGGGAAGCGCTGCTTACTTTGCAGAAACTTGTGTTTAGGGATTAGTTTTTTATAGGCCTCGCTGGGGAACCGGGTGAGCGAACGCTTCATCCCGTGGCCCAGTCCGCAGCATCTCGCCGTGTGTGAATATTTTTCCTGACCGGTTTGAGGTCCGTGCAGTGTGAAAAGACCGGTAACGGATTGCGTTTTTGACGTTGGAAGAAGCGGGTTTTCTGGGCGCCCCTGCCACCTCCGCCTCTTAAACCGCTTCCCAGACTCCGCCTCTGGTGTTCTCTGGTTACCAGAGCCTCCCGGTGCACCTGCTCCTTTCTTTCCTTATCCCCTTCCTGCTGTGAGCCACAGTGCTGAATACTGAAAATTTGTACTGGAGGTAACCAATATTGAGAAATAGCTTCGAAGCAAACAGGTTTTTTCCCCTTTGAATACTCAAAGTTCTTGAACAGTTTGAGATGGCTGATTAGTCGGAATAATATACTTTGACAACGAGCCTATAAGTGATGTAAACCATTTTCGTTATATTCCGATGTATGTTTAAGATATCACTTTACTTGTTTGGTAGGACCTTTGAGATTGGGGGTGGGGTTTAAAGGTTTACATATAGGGCCTAGTGCGGTAGTCTAGTGGCTAAAGTCCTCACCTTGCATGTACCGGGATCCCATATGGACACTGGTTTGTGTCTCAGCTGCTCTGCTTCTCATTCACGTCCCTGTTTGTGGCCTGGGAAACCAGTAGAAGTTGGCTCGAAGCCTAGGACCCTGCACCGACGTAGGAGACCTGGAAGAAGCTCCTGTCTTCAGATCAATCAGCTCTGGCTGTTGTCTCCACTTGGGGAATAAACCAGCAGATGCTAGATCTTTCTGTATCTCCTTCTCTGTTGATCTGACATTCCAATATTAAATAAATAAATAAATTTTAAAGAAAAGATAAAGTTTACATGTAACGTTTATTACATATAGTTTTGTAAAAGTTAAGGTAACTTGAGTTTAAAATATTGATAAATTGTATTTTTTCTTGTTGGTATTCGAGTCATAGTTTAGAACATAAAATATAATATTGTATATGTCATAGTGTAAGTCAAGAATTTAGTACTTTTTTTAAAAAGATTTATTTATTAATTGGAAAGTCAGATATACACAGAGGAGGAGACAGAGAGGAAGATCTTCCATCTGATGATTCACTCCCCAAGTGAGCACAGTGGCCGATGCTATGCCGATCCGAAGCCAGGATCCAGAAAGTTCTTCCAGGTATCCCACACGGGTACAGGGTCCTCAGGCTTTGGGCCGCCCTCGACTGCTTTCCCAGGCCACAAGCAGGGAGCTGGATGGGAAGTGGAGCTGCCAGGATTAGAACTGGTACCCATATGGGATCCTGGCGTGGTCAAGGTGAGGACTTTAACCACTAGGCCACACCGCCAGGCCCAGTACATTTTTTTTTTAAATAATTAGGAGGAGGTAACAGCTTTGAAGTGTGGAGCAGGAAAGGAACTGTTTCTGAGCTGCAAAAATTAGTTTCTAAACAGATAACTTGATATGATTGTATGTGGTATTCTTTGTGTTATCCTTGAAGAGGATTTGATAATGAAGACAGTTTTCAGAATGTGGTTCTGGGCCCGGCAGTGTGGCCTGCCTTGAATATGCTAGGATCCCATATGGGTGCAGGTTATTATCTCGGCAGCCCCACTTCCCATCCAGCTCCCTGCTTGTGATCTGGGAAAGCAGTCAAGGACGGCCCAAAGCCTTGGGACCCTGCACCTGGGTGGGAGACCCAGAAGAAGCTCCTGCCTTCTGGCTTCAGATAGACACAGCACAGGCCATTGTGGTCACTTGGGGAATGACTCAGCGGATGGAAGATCTTTCTCTCTGTTCTCCTCTCTCTGTATATCTGACTTTGCAATAAAAAGAAATAAATCTTAAAAAGAATACGACTCTACTTAGTGACCCAGAGTTAGCAACCTTATTTGCCTTGCCTTTTGGTGTGCTGCATTGCTCTGCTGTCATTATCTTTGTCAGAGAAGTGCTATGCCATTCCTAATTATTAAATACTAGAATGCTTTATGTGGTGCCAGTTTCTTCATCTTCATAGACTCTCTTTAGCTCGTTTGAATTTATCCTAAAATAACTGTTTCGATTGCCTTTTTCTAAATCCACTTAATTTTTTTTTAACAGAGGAAAGGTTAAGCATTAATTAAATAATGCCTTGAAAATAGCACCCTTTTCCCATGAGCCTAAGAGAGTGGGAAGCAAAGCATCTACTTTGCTTGCAAATGGTGTTCTTAGAGGGACTTGTGATGTTTGCTGGAAACAGGGGAATACTTAGGAGGGTGGAGGATGTTAGAGAATTTCCAGAGGTGCTCACAGCATAGGAAAAGCTGTTGTCATGAGGATGAGGTGAAGTGACATTGGGCGGTTTGAGGTCAGTTATAGCCAGGAGAACTTACTCATTTGCTTGGAGGTTAATGTGTAGTTGCTGCTAAGGTAGTTTTAGGTCTGACTTACAGTGAGGGGAGATCTTAGCAAACCGAATTTTATATATTGAGATATTAACTGACCTCAGGGTTCATAATTGCTTTTCTAGAAAACAAGGATGTATTATTCTGATGCTGTGAAAATGTTCAGCACAGAGTACCATGTCATGAGACAGACATATGTAATACTTAGTACACAGTAAGGTCTTAATCGAATTTTTGCAATTGAAATTGAGTATTTTGTTGTGGTTCATTTGCTCTCCTCCCACCAATAGCTCAAGAGTTACAGATTTTTTTTTAATTTGCTGAATGTAATTATGGGCATTATCCTTTTTAAAAATTAAATTGAGAGAGCAAACACATGTTCCCCTAACCTATCCAGTTCACTTCCCAAATGTCTCAATTGTTAAAACTGGCCCAAGGCCAAAGTCAGGAAACTGGAAGCTCAGTCTTGCTGCTCTCCTCCCTGGATGATAGGAGCCCAGTTATTTGGGTCATCACCATTAACCTCTTGAGTATGGGTCAAAAAGTTTGAAGTAAAAGCCATGTCCTGAACCTACATACTGCATGTCTGACATAGCCATTTGAGCCTGCGTCTGAAGCTCAAAGCCAAAGGCGTACTCCATTTAGAAGTATCATTTTCCAAAAACAAACAAATAAAAAGATGTATATTTTTGTTTATTTAAAAGGCAGAACAGCAAAGAGATAAAGATGTTTAATTTCCTTATTCATTCTCCAAGTGACTGCAACAGCTGAGTCTGGACCAGGCCAAAGCCGGGAGCCAAGAACTGCAGCTTAGTCTCTCATATGGGTGATAGGAGCCCAAGTACCTGGGTGATCTTCCACTTTCTTCCCAGTCTCGTTACAGGGAGCTGAGTTAGAAGCACAACTGGGACTCTGGCCAGTGCTCTGATACAGGATGCTGATGTAGCAAGTGGTAGCTTAACCTCCTGTACCACAGTGCTGGCTCCTGGAAGTATCTTGTTTTAGAAATGTATTAAATTTTTTTTGAAGATTTATTTTATTTTTATTGGAAAGGCAGAGATACAGAGAGGAGAGATCTTCCATCCGATGATTCACTCCCCAAGTGAGCGCAATGGCCGATGCTATGCCGATCCGAAGCCAGGAGCCTCTTCCGGGTCTCCCATGCGGGTGCAGGGTCCCAAAGGTTTGGGCCGTCCTCGACTGCTTTTCCAGGCCACAGGCAGGGAGCTGGATGGGAAGCGGGGCTGCCGGGATTAGAACCGGTGCCCATATGGGATCCCGGGCGTGCAAGGCGAGGATCTTAACCACTTGCGCCACCGCGCCGGGCCCGAAATGTATTAAATTTTTAAGAAGACTCCTATGGAACAGGCTATGGGAATTCTTTAAGTATGTGACCATCTTAAGTACAGAAAAGAAGTGAAGGATATTCCTCAAAGAAAACTGGCTAAATGATTTTTTTAAAAAAAGATTTACAAAGGAGATACAGAAAGAAAGATCTGCCCACTAGTTCACTTGTGGCTGTAACAGCCAGCGCTCAGCCTATCTGGAGCCAGGAACTAGGAGCCTCTTCTGGGTCTCCCACACGGGTGCAGGGTCCCAGGCTTTCGGAAGTCCTCTGCTGCTTTCCCAGACCATAAGCAGGGAGCTGGATGAGAGATGGGGCAGCCCAGACACGATCAGTGCCCATATGGGATCCCGGTGTGCAAGGCGAAGACTTTAGCCACTGAAGATATTGTTCTGGGCCCCTAAGCATTTTCTCCTTCACAGTTTCCATTAAGCGACCTTAATTG